CACACACACACACACACACACACACACACACACACACACACACACACGCACACACACACACACACACACAGGCTCTCCCGATTTTTCTGGACCTGTGGGACCTTGGTCGGTGCTTTCTTGTTGGTAGTGTCTTCTGTGTTGTGGTGCGCTCATTCTTTGTGGTCATTTGTTAAGGATGTTACCGTTTGTCCTCCAGCGATGTATGCATGAATGTTTGGATCTGTGCCTGGTATGTGATTCTCTGGAGCAGGCTGGAGTTGTACGCTTCGGCGGCAGACAGGTGAGGGGGCACTTGTCGCTTTCCTGTATCTTTAGATTAACAAAACCTATATAATATCTGTGCAAGTGTGCCGCTTTGGCAGCAGACGGGTGTGTGGGCACTTCCCGCTCAACCACACAAACGCAGGTAACCTTGCATCGTCTATTATATTTTGCCCACACACACGTTTTTTGTTGTATGGATGGTCTGTGATGGTATGTGGATGGAATGAGAGAGAGAGAGAGTGTCTGGGGTTTTTTGACAACACACAAGCAACATGCCATATCTTGTCGATGTTTTCCGGAGGCTGTCGTGGAGAGTACGTGTCTGTACTGCGTGGACTATACCGGTGCGATCACCTCTTAGTTAGATCTGTTTCCTGAGGTTGTAACCTGATATGTAATGTGTAATTGGCCAGGGTTCTGTGTCTGTGGAGGGTTATGATAGCCTGGCTGTCTCCTTTGAACTTGGTCTGGATTTTAGTAATGGATGGAGCTGGCTCAGCCTCTATTGGGGGGGGGGACGAAGAATTATGAAATCCAAGGGGGATAACCAGGCTCAGGCCCAGGAAAATCAATAAGATCGGATGGTCGTTTTTGGGGACAGTGGTGGTTTAAAAATTAAAATTGCGAATTTCAACCTCTTGTCAATGTATTTGTGCGACGCAGCTCGACCAGATGGATGCACTGGGAACCCTGTACTTTGTTGTACTGACATACTTTCAGGACATAAAAAACATAACATTGCAACGTACCGTCCGTGTAATCTGCAGTGTACATCGTGCATTTTTACCCATACCAAACACACCTGCGGGATGGGGGGGAGCGCGGACACTAATGATGGAATAGGTTAGGTGTGGGGGATCGCAAAATAAAAAAGGGAGGTGGTTTCAGAGTTAGACTGGAGGGAGAGGAGTCATGGAAGTGGTGAGGGGCTTAGGGGTTCCCTTTAAACCACCAGTCCGACGGACTTTACTTGTTTACAAGTACTGGGCCAAAATGTACAGTGCCGAGGCCTGGTAGAGGTTCGGTGGGAAAAGGGCTACCACCTTTCATTTGTCCAAAGGCCTGTACTGTAGATTCAAGGCTCGGAGAAATGCATTTTTGGTTTGTCAATTTAGCTTCAGATGGACGGGTGGGTTTAGTGGTAGATTTGGTGCTGAAGGGATGCGATACTTGCTTTTCTTTCTTTATTAATTCAATTCTCTGCAGACCAGGCATGGATGCGCAGATCGAGCATGTCTGACGCTCATGCCATTTTCACACTAGAACTACCCTCGATGCATACCATCCAACCAAAAGGAAGGACCGGGGATGTAGCGGGGAAATTACTGCGACCTTCTGTCAGGAAAAAAAAAGTTGCAAGTGGTGCTAATCCCCAAGGCATCAGTGTTATCTTTCGTACTTCAGCTACCGATGATGGTTCTCGTTGTCAGCCGATCTGCCTCCTGTTTTGGCCTTTTTTCTAAAAAAACATCCCTTGTGGGTGCTAGGGGTGTTGATAAGAGCAATCACCTAGAGCTCCCAAGAGAGACTCCATGTGGCATACTGCATAGCCACACGGGCCCTGCAGGGCCCGTCCCGGACATTCAGCCTAAAAGCCTAAAACTTAGGGCTAACAGGCCCCGGTCGTTTCAGCCTCAAAGCTGAAAAACGAGGGCCTGCAGGCCCTACTCCGTTTCAGCCTATTTCTGGGTCTTTCAGACCCAGAGTTTTTCCAGCCTGAAACGGAGGGCCATTTTCAGGCCCT